GAGCCTGTGGCATTTATGGCCCTAATGCTGAGGCTGACGATTGGGGATTGCTGTGCTATTTCTAGGGATAGACTCAAATCAGACTTGACAGTTATTAAGCAATATGTTTTACTATGGCAACGAGTCAAAAAGACATACGTTCACTTTCCATGTGCAAACCGTGCTGTGACTACGAGCGGCAGACCTATAAATAAAAAAAATGGCTGCTATCACGAGAGACAACAGGCCGCGAGATTCTCTAAGAAGATGCTAATTAGCATAACGTAAGCTTGGCTAAGGCAGGCATCTATAATTAAGCTTGTCAGACTTTGATGTTTATAGTGGCTGAATCTAACGGCATTTAAGTTGTAATTAGCATGTCTAATTCTTATGCATTTTTCAGTTTCAAAATCCAACAGCAGGGAATTCAGTTAAAAGCATCCTCTGTTAGGAAGGCCGACAGGAAACGGCAGGAACAGTGAGCCAGGTGGCGCACGTTTGAGTGACAGCAGCTGTTAACCTGTGAGATGAGAATGACGAATGTACATATATCTGCTGCTGGAACCAGACCTGGGCGGGGGCGGGACTGCTGTTGGCCTGTGGATGCTCATTGGTTCATCTGGTTCGTTCTGCAGTCTGTGAGCCTATAGCGCGCAGGCAGTGGTGACTCTTAAATGTGCTTGGATCGGTGGGCTGGCTCTTCTCCTGCCTGATTCTATAGAGGAGGTGTTCACAGCCTTTACGGATTAAGCTCTAACTAAAACCGAATGCATTGTCAGATCGGCATGTGGTGGGACGTCCTTTTCCCCATTGGCTCTGCCAAGCACTTCACTGGAAACCCAAGATGATCCTGATTTGTTTTTGGTTACGATGTTTGCCTTGCCCATGGTAATCCAATGAGCATTGTGATTGGCCAACACAGCAGCCATGACATCAAAGGCCAGCCGTAGTGTTTTGCTTGTAAACGGAGACCTAACCCCTAACGGCCTTTTAACATAGAACATTTTTCTTTTTGCCTGACAGCAGTATAAGTGTATAAGATGGGCAGTTCGTTCGCACAGCCTCACAGCTCTAGCCGATGCATCAGTTTTAATGGTGCTAACTTTTTCGTTCAAATGTCCATCATATACATCCATCTACATTGGTTTGAAGAAATTTACCGCGTTGAAGCACTTTGTAAAAGAGACTTTCATGAGCCATGATGAGCAGCGGTAATGAACATGTTCCCTGTTCTTGCAGTCATTCGAAAAGGTGACATATGGTTTTTATTCTCTGTTATTCCAAATCAATTCCTGGATTCCCTGCTTAAAGGCTGGAATAATTCAAGCTGCAAATAGCTTTCCTGGTTCAATGAACGATCCCAAAGTGGTTAGAGGTTTTACTCTTGGGCCAATTCCACTTTCGACTACAGACAGCGCTGTGCACTAAATCCAATATGGGCCCCAGTTCAGTTCCATTAAATGTCCAGTTTGCTGTTCGTTATTTCGAGGTCTTATGCACAGTCATTGATTCACCTGCTAAAATGGAACGCTGCATGTGCCGAGTGAGAAATAGGTTTTCGATTAACATGGGGTCTTGATTGCTCTGTCAAGTCATGGTGGAACCCCCCCTTCCCAGTTCCCAGCCCCCCAGTGAGCTCATCACTCATGGGTTTCTTCATGAGTCTCATGCAGAAGGGCTCCGTATATGTCTCATAACTGTAAGACCTATGAAAGAGGGAGAGGTGAAATATTGACTGAGGGTTGTTATGGCAACAGGACCGGTGGCTCTGTGCTGAGAGTTGGGAGGACGAGAGAATCAAAATACAATCAGAGCGATAGCAGAGATCGTGTGGGGAAGCAGGAGTCGACTTCATCACTGCGCTACAGGGCTGACTTATCTGTGAAAGATTGCGTCCTTGCTATAAGAGAAAGTTCAGAGGCATAAGGCTGCATTTAAAGCTGACTCAAACAGAAGGGACCCGTCAGAAACGATCAACACATAAGTAACCACTGGAAACGCCGGTCAGGGAGCAGAGGCCCAGTGCAGCATGCAGGACAACAGCTGTCTATACATGTGTACATGATGGACCTGGTGAATTAATTCTTTGATTACGGGGGATAACTTAAGAATCCTTAGTAATAATAATAATAATTTACCATAGGCCTGAGTATGTGTAGTGTGTGTGCCCTGCCAACCTGAGATCCCCCCATGTAGTCAGTGAGGTGGTATGCTCCAAGGTGAACTTCTTAGTGAGATACAGCAAGCCACTTCCCCGTAAGCTGAAAGGTTGCGTGTCTCCTGTTCGACACAGTGATGGTGCAGGGAGGCCCCACCCAGCACCTCTTATCGAGCTGCACGTCTGCGCGCCGCATGCCAGCCGCATGCCAGCCGCATGCCAGCCGCATGCCAGCCGCATGCCTGAGGGCGCAGCATCACTGCTGCTGCCTTCGGTGGGGAGGCACCACACACCTAAGTGTCTTTTCACATGCGTGTTGGTTTTGCTTGTGAACTCCTCTGCATTTTTGTCCTTCCTCCACTCCCCAAGGTGCAACGTCTCTCTTTTTATCCTGCTCTTCACTTTCCCTTCTCCTTTTTCCCAGAGGCCGGTCTGAAGACGCATCTGCATCCGCTGCCTTATCTCTCCAGACCACCAATGTCCCAGCAGAACTTCAGCTCAACGTGCCGAGAGCAGCTGACGGTATTTGACTGATGAACTGTCTTCTCAGCGTATCCCGGAGCAAAGCAGACTCCGAAATCAATACTGAACACAGACAAGTGAACAGGACTGTAGGTTTTACACTGTTGGGTCTTGTTTAAACGGTGGAATTACAGCAATCTGTCAGTTTTATGGACCAGGGGTCCAGTGATCTTACCAGCCTCAGTTTATGCCACTGGAGGAATGAACTCTATTATCAGAACAATCACATTCCAAAAGGGATGCTATTTGGAAGCTGTTGTATGAGTTATTTTTTAATAATGCTTCAGTTTCAGGTGCTAATAAATATATTAAGTTGTTTATTAAGCAGACATATTGAGTCAAGCCAGCAATTCCTTTGCCAGCGACTGGACATAACTGGGAATTGGACTTAGGCAACTTAACTGGGAATCCATGGCTCTATCCAATGGCCCTGCGTCTTTGACCATCTACATTCGTTGTGTGTGTGACTGGGTTTGGGTTATTCTTAAGTTAGCTGGAATTATTGGTTGTCAGTTTGCTGGCTTGAACAGATGCACCAGTCCACTTCCTACCAGTAATCTCTCTCTCATCTTTTAAATTTGTGTTGAACCTATCGCCCCCTGCAACGCACTTTCAGCTAAAGATTTCAGGTGACTTTCAATCTCATCACCCAAATTTAAGGGAAACCATGTCAGACATCTCCGTTGTTTCTCTTCATTACTTATCAGCTGCAGAATGTTACCTGCCAAGGGCGACCTGCCACTGAATCAGTACTTTGTCGGTTCCCTACCTTGTTCACTGCTGCCACCATGTGGGCAGAGATGCAGTAATGCTCTGCAGTTTTAAGCCAGACCTCACGCACAAGGCTGTTACTCTCCTTGGCGATTTGCTTAGCAGGAGTTAATAACCCTACCGCTCCACCCACCGTGTTAAGTGAGTGGTTCAATGGAAATGTTTAGGCGTGGTGTTGGGGTCCTCAAGCCAAATGCAGTGTTCGTTCTCAACCAAGATCTCGGCTGCCACAGTGCGATGCCCCAAGGACGCGGCGAATTCCTTACAGTTTGGTGTAACGGGCACATAACTCCTGTCTGCCGGCACAGCAGGGCTGACCTACTTGGAGGGATAGCGATTAAGATCGGACTCATAAATTCACGTCCTTCATGAGCTGCAGGCACACTGCCTGTTTCCTGTCCCCCCCGCTCCAGTGCTAGACGTCCTGTAGCCACTCTAGCCTGATTCTCGCCCCATTCTGAAAGGTGTCTGTAAATTAGCCAGGTGTGTGTGTGGGTGTGTTTGTGGGTGTGTTTGTGGGTGTGTT